TTAAAATACATATCTAAGGGTTCATTTTCCTGACATCACATTATCTGACCTTTTCCGCTTGACTCGTACATCCACTAGATATTGCAAATAAGGGGAACCATGAGGTCCCTTTACTTTTTAAAAAAAAATTATTGTCAAGGTAATATTCACAGGGGTTACAGTTCCATAAGTAAGAAGCACATTTCTTGTCAAACTTGTTCCCTCTTCCCTCATTTTTCTCCTTCTTTCCTTTTCCCTCTTCCCCTCCCCCCCACACCCCCAGCTTATTGTCTTGTTTATATTGCTGTTGGCATTGGTTCCTCCCTTGTCCTTTGTCTCACCATTCTGTTGTCCCCCCTTCCCTTCCCTAATTCAAATAAGTATATATGCAATACCAGGGTACCAAAATCAAATACAGTGACAACAGAGGATATACCATAGGGGGAAGAACTTACAAAAGAAACAAAAAAATCACACAGTACATTAAAAACAACAACAACAAAGAAAAACCTCTTGTGTTGTTTCCTAAAGGATTCACTCAAGTTGGTTTTAGAATTGGTGTGGAGAGCAGAGGACATGGCCAGATAGTTTTTACAAAAAACGATTCAGTGATAGAAGAACTTTTCTATAACAGCAAGATTATAAACCATAAGTGGACCAATGAAGCACAATATAGAGATTATGAACAGATCTGTTCGGCTCATAAATGGACTCCAGATTTAAACATAATTTTATAAAAAAGACAAACTGCAAAAATGTGGTATCTACTGCCCAGAAGTTATGAATAATATATAATAATATATAATCTAAATAGGACAAAACAAAACATTCTTTCTCTTACATATATATCCCATAACATGCATATATATATATATATATATACACACCCACGTACATATAAATACACATATGTCTGTATGTTTGTTCACACACCCACATATTTACCTTCCTAATTATGAAATGTGAAAAAGATAAACATTTAAAAAGAAACACTGGATTGTCTCTGTACAATTAGAAGAGGGAAAGGCTTTGTGGGGAGTAGGTGTTTTTTAAAATATATTTTTGGCTTGAACTTAGTAGAGTCTTGTACTTGCGAGACAGGTATCTACCACTTGAACAACACTTCCAACCTTAGTGCTTGTAGTTGCTTTTCAGATTTGTTCTGGCTATTTTCCTAGGGCTAGCCTTGGATTATGATCCTCCTACCTACAGCCTTCTGAGTAGCTGGAATGATAGATATATATTACCTATACATGTGTATATATATATGTATATATATATATACATATATATATATACACACATATACATATGTAATGTATATAACAAGTCCTGGCTCATTTGTTGGGATATGGATCTTGCTTACTTTTTTGCTCAGGCTGATTTTGAACTCCAATTCTCCTGATCTTTACCCTCTGAGTGGTGAGGATTACAGGCATGAGCCACTGTGCCAGGCTGGGAAAGATTCTTATGTAAAATGTTGAGTGTATATAGCACAGAAGAGATTAATAATAAATAATAATCTTAAATTTTGATTCATCAATAGTCAGTGAAGGCCAAGTGAAAAAACAAGCTACACAAACTCCACCAAGAATACAGAATGCTGAAAAGAATATTACTTTCACCAAAACAATATGAAAAACAACCAGCATAACCTTTCAGGGAAAAGGTAATCAGGAGGTAGAGACTTAACAAGTATGTGGGAAGAATGCAGTTAATTTAAACTACTTTTTCTGATATCCCAAGGGGCAGTGTGAGAATAGCAGTCTGTTGGGAGCTACAGGCACAGGAGAATTTCCATCTCCCCAGGTATTTGTCCACAGATAAGACAAGATGTTCCTGGATGTGACAGGCTCTGCTGCTGAGTAGACATGGAGCCACCCTTTGAGGGTTGTTTGGTGATAGTTGAAAATCTGTTTTTTTCTTTTCTTTTGGCTGGTACTGGGGCTCTTGATCTGTCTAGGCTTTTTTGCTCATGACTGGTACTCTGCTACTTGAACCACACCTCTATTTGAGGCTTTTTGCTGGTTAATTGGAGGTAAAAGTCTGGCGGACTTCTTTGCCTGTGCTGGTTTTAAACTTCAATTCTTAGAACTCAGCTTCATAAGGAGCTAGAATTATAATTGTGAGCCACTGGCACCCAGCCAGGTTCTCTCTTGAAGGGCATCGTTGAAGAGCTTCCATATACCCCATCGCTGTGGGCAGAATTACCTGTCAGACAACCAGGAAGGGGATCTATGAGCTGTCTGTGTGGCATGTCCAGCAGGTACTTGGATGTGCAGACTTGTAACAGGAATAGCACTCATCTTTAGAGTTGAAGATCTATCATAAAGATGTTCGTCATAAGAACTTTGGAAACAGACAAGTTAGGGTTGAAATCTTGGCTCTAAATCTTTTTATGCCATTAAATAACTTGCTTAACTTCTATAAGCCTCTGTGGTTTTGTGAGGCTTGCATGAGTTCTATAAGCTGCTCTGCACAGTGATTGGCTTATGATTATTGGAGTGATGAGTGTGGGTAAGGTCTCTAGTGAGAGCTTTGGAGTGAGGATAGCTACGACCAAGGATCCCATCCTGGGTGGTCAAGTAGGGTAGCATCAGACCAATCAGAGGTAAGCAAAAGGGCAGTGGAGGGTGTTGACTCAGGATCAGATTAGCAGTCATGCTGTAAAGAGGCTAAATAGGAATATGCTCCCTGATTGTAGCCATGGGGAGGAGCTGTGAGCCTTGTTGGAGTCACCATGGCACAGCAGGGCAGGAAGGAGTAAAGGGAAAAGGGAGATGAAGGCAGTGACTGAAGACCAAAGCCTGCTATGCTTTGGTCAGGGATGGCGGTACTGATCTGCATCAGTACAAGGGAGGCGAACCTTCAGGGCTAGAGCAGGAACACTGTTGCTCCCAACGTCAGGCCTGGATGCCTTGTGCTCTCTGGAACCCCTCTTGGGACTTGGCAACCAGGGCTGAGGAGCCACATTTAAGATCCAGTCCCTCCAGAGCTCTAGGTTTCAACCACTGAAGTCCAAGCCCTATCCTTGCCTGCCACAGCTGTCTCCTGTGTTTGTAGCACTGAACAAGAGTTGTTATTGACAAAGAGTTGCTTAGAGATTATAATCTTGCTGTCAGGTAGTCAGGCCCTTTGTTTAGTCTGGATTTGTGTTCCTTTTAAAAGGTGAGCCTTCAAGTGGTAGAGCGCCAGCCTTGAGCTGAAGAGCTGAAGGACAGCTCCCAGGCCCAAAGTTCAGGCCCCACAACCGGACTCAAAAAATAAATAAATAAATAAATAAATAAAAGGTGAGCCTTCTCTAGGAGAATATTAAGTCCCACTGTATTTGAAGTCATGACCATTTCTTCCCATCACCCTTTCAGGATTTCAGAGTTTGGCTGCATGTTGGAGATTAAGGATGTGAGAACTTTCCCAGATGGGAGCTCTGTTGTGGATGCCATTGGAATTAGCCGGTTCCGAGTTCTGAGCCATCGTCACAGAGATGGCTATAATACAGCAGACATTGAGTACCTGGAAGATGAAAAGGTAAACCTCATTTTACAGAGGTCTGACCCCTTCCCTTCTTCATCGTGGAAAAACCTTATGAGATTTTTATTAACAGAGTCACTAATTTTCTTCTTAATTCTGCACATAAGTTACTTACTCCCTATCAATTTTTGTGTGAGTTGGAAATGGTAGAGAAAAATACCTGATAAAAAAATAATCCTTTTGTCCTTAGGGAGCGTGTAATTCTACACATTGCAAAATAAAAACAGGTTCCTAACTTATTGTTTGCTGTTCTAGCCTGGTGCATGCGGTGCAGGGTGTGGGGGAGGGGAAGGGGAATGCATCTTCTACAGAGGCATACATGACCCTCTGCCCCTATGGTTCCATCCACTGTGGATTAAAAACATTACAAAATCAAAGTTGTATTTCTCTCACAATAAAAGGGGAAAACATTGTAGAAATACTGTGTTGTTTTATAAAGTAAAAAGTTGTACTGTTCCAAATATAACTTATTTGAGTGATTAAATAAACCGTGATCGATTGAATATATAATTGCTGGGAGTGTAAACTTGTTCAACCACTTTGGAAAGTAGTATGGAGGTTCCTCAAAAGACTCCACATAGAGCTCCCGAAGACCCAGCAATCCCACTTTTGGGCATTTACCCAAATGATCACAAACAAGACCACACTAAAGCTACCACCACAACTATGTTTATTGGAGCATTATTTACCATACTTAAGATATGGAACCAACCCAGATGCCCCTCAGTAGATGAATGGATCAAGAAAATGTGGTATATATACACAATGGAATTCTATGCCTCCATCAGAAAGAATGACATTGCCCCATTTATTAGGAAATGGAAAGACTTGAAAAAATTTATATTAAGTGAAATAAGCTAGGCCCAAAGAAACATAGGTCCCATGGTTTCCCTTATTTGCAATAACTAGTATATGTCTGAGACAAGCAGAAATGGTCAGATAAGTTGATGTTAAGCAAAATGAACCCCAAGTTAAGGACTCAAATGTTTTTTCTTTCTTACTATTGTGTCTAACATACTTATAAGATATTTCTTTGTTGCTTTGTATGTCCCTTCCCCATGGTATAAGCCTTGTTTTCACTGTATTTGATGTTGGTATAATTTGGGGAGGGGAAGGGAAAAAACAAATTGTTTAAATAGGAATACAGGTGGACCCATTGCACCAATGAGATGCACAAGATGTTATGTCAAAAATGAACTTTACAACTTTGGCGTGGGGATTGGGGGAGGGGTGATGAGTAGGGGTGGAGATGGGAAGGGATGGTAAAGGGAAACAAAGGAGGAGGCAACAATGCTTGATAAGAAATGCATTCATTACCTTGCCCATGTAATTGTAACCCCTCTCTACGGTATTTTCACAGTAAAGAAAAAAAAAACACTCAGTGATTTTAATGAAGCAATAGTGTGTTATGAAAGCAATACATTCTGTGAACCCACTTGGCAGATGTGGAGTAAGTCACTGGCTGTTGTGTGTGGAGGCCCATGTCTATCATGAGTTGCTGAATGCTTGCCTTTCCCTTGAACAGGTGGAGGGGCCAGAGTATGAAGAACTTACCACTCTTCACGATTCTGTGTATCAGCAGTCTGTGTCCTGGTTTTCTTCTCTCCAGGATCACATGAAAGAACAAATTTTAAGTCATTTTGGGGGAATGCCAGACAGGGAGCCCGAGCCTCAGGTATGTTATCCTTTTTCTTTTCTTTCTTTCTTTCTTTTTTGATGCTGCTATTTACTGCTGTAATATTCTAGACATACCATTCCAGTGTATGCACAGTGTGACAGCCCAGCATCATGTACTCCATAGGAATGCTTATGAACTGGTTCATTTGTTGGCAGTCCAAAGAGGCATTAGTTAAGTGCCTAAGATCCAAAGGAGAACCTATAACATTAATGCTAACAGTACATGAAGACAATTTCCTTTGAACGAAAGTCACTTAACTCTGCTTGTTCTCAGCCTTCATGCCTTAACACTAGGACTTAAATACCAATTTTTTTAAATCATATTGACAGTGACACTGTTTTGCACACGACACTGCCTCACATCTGGACTCTAGAGAAAAATACGGAATACCTGGTCACTTCGAAGCCTTATTTCATTGTCCTTTGTGGTAACACCTCCTTCCCCTATCTATTCCTCCTGGGCTTTTTTTCTGATCCCTCCTTTGCATGCCTTTGGTGAAGATGGTTCTCCAGTAATCAGTGGATTTAAATGAGAGGCCGTGGTAACTTGGGGTTGTGGCAGTGACCAGTTCTCTGGTCCACATGGAGGCACGTCTGCCTTACAGAAGGCGTGTATGTGTAGGCATGTCTGCCTCACAGAAGGCATGTATGTGGGGTTGGTAGGGCTAGCTCTCAAAAAGCTTAATTTAAGATGGAATGCCTTCTCTTGTCTCCATTCATTTGTTACCTTACCTCTTGAGGGTTTTTGTTATTTATCATCTATGGGAATTGGAGGTTTTCTAAACTCAAGATGCCAAAATTACCTCTAGATCTTACTTGACTACAATCTTGTGAAAGTCAAATCTCTCCCAAACTCTTTTTCTATACTGTACTTTAACTCAGATTCACAATGCAAGGAGATAAGGCCGATTTGCAATTAGGAAATCATGAGGCTCTACAGCTGAGCCATAACTCCACATCTGGCTTTCGTTTGGTAGTTTTTAGAGATAAGAGTCTCACAGGCTTTCCTGACAGGTCTGGCTTTTAAATTGGGATCCTTAGATCTCAGCCTCCTGAGTAAGTAGGGTTACAGGTATGAGCCACTGGTTCCTAACGAGGAAATGAATCATTCTTTTTGTTAGCGATTTCCATTTTAAACTCAGATTAATCTCTCATTGGTAGGCGTATTTGCTTCCAATAATCGCTGTCACAAATCATCACAAATGTGGGTGGCAGTTTACAGCAACACACATTTATTGTGATCAAAGTGTGGTGACAGGATGCATTGTTCTCTGGAGGTTGTTGGGGGAGAGTCTATCTTCTGTGTTTTCCACTAATTTTGGGGTGTACTGGGGCCTAGTACTTACAAGGTAAGCACTACTCTTTGAGCCAGTCCCCAGCCCTTTTTTTTTTTTTCCATTTTAGTTATCTTTCAGGTAATGTCCAGGGCCAGCCTTCTACCATGAGCTTCCTACCTATAGTCTTTTTTTTTTTTGTCGGTCATGGGGCTTGAACTCTGGGCCCTGAACACTGTCCCTCAGCTCTTCAGCTCAAGGCTAATGCTCTACCACTTAAGCCACAGTGCCACTTCCAGTTTTCTGAGTGGTTTATTGGAGATAAGAGTCTCACGGAGTTTCCTTCCTGGGCTAGCTTTGAATCACAATCCTCAGATCTCAGCCTCCTGAGTAGCTAGGATTACAAGTGTGAGCCACCAGCACCTGGCTCCTACCTATAGTCTTACACATAATTGGGACCATAAGTGTGTACCACTATATCCAGCTTTTATTGGTTATGATGTGTCTTGCTACAGTCTTCCCAATCTCTGCCTCCTGAGAAGCTGTAATTACAGGCCTGAAGCACCATGCCTGGCTAACTTATTCTAAAGACTGCTGGCTTTCCTTGGCTTATGATTCCTTCTGTGATCAAAACAAGGGACACTGTATCTCTGACCATTCTTCTGCTGTCATACTTCCCCTGACTGCCACCTGAAAAAGATGCACCTGATTGTGTAGGACCCCTGTAATGATCTTGCCATCTTAAGATCTTAATTTGGTCACACCTTTCAGGTCCCACTGCCAGTTAAAGTACATTTTCATGTTTTAGGCATTAGAGCATTGATGTCCTTGAGGGTTGTTATGCCAAGGACAGAAGAGTTTTAGGTAGTCTGTGGGGAATGTCTTTATATGAGTTTCTTCTTACTAAACATGCTTTAGCTTCTCATTAAGCTAATGCCTCTCACCTAAAATCTTAGCTACTTGGGAGGCTGACTGGGAAGACTGAAGCTTGAGCCAACCTGATCACACATGCAGGAACCCCCTCAGCCAATAGCGGGGTGCAGTGGTGCATGTTTATCATCTCAGCTACTATGGGAAGTTCAAATGAGCTGACACAAAATTAGGGACACACCTGGGGTAGAAGCAGGATCAGTACAAAAGAGGATTAGAGGTATGGTTGAGCAAGAGAGTATCTGCCTAGCAAGCGTGAGACGCTGAGTTCAAAATCCCAATGTTACCAAAAAAAGAAAAACATTGTTCACTACTCTGTAAGATGAGAAAAGGAGAGTACAACTTTTTTGATTTTTTTTTCCCAGTCGTGGGGCTTGAACTCAGATCTGAGCACTGTCTCTGAGCTAGTGCTCTTCCGCTTCAAGCCATAGCTCCATTTCTGTTTTTCCTGGTGGTTAATTGGAGGTAAGAGTAGTATGGACTTTTCCTGCCTGGGCTGGCTTCAAACTGTGATCCTCAGAGCTCAGATTCCTGAGTAGCCTGGATTACAGGTGTGAGCCACTAGTGCCCAATGCACAATGTTATTTTTAGTCCTCTGGTGGAAAACCATTCCAGAAATCACCAGAGAACAATAAAAGGCTTTGAAACTAAAGGCCTGGATATCTTTGTTCCAGTGCCAGCATATCAAGAACAAGTTTATAGTCATCTTTTGTTTAGAATTCAAACCAGAACAAATCATGTGATATTTACCACATTGGCTTATGATAAGGTTAATTTTCTTATGGTACTTAAACCATACATATACACATACTTTTAGCCTTTATGATTTATATAGCATGCCTAAAACTTAAATAGCAGTAGCACAGAACATTGGGTTGGGGAGGTGAAAATTACTTGTCTTTTCTCCTGGTTGGTGTATGTATAAACTTAAGTAGACAGGAGAAAAAAAAGCAACTAATTTATGGAATTTCCCTGTAGAAGATGCTTCTCTTGGAATGTTCTTGCTTTTATGAGTTTTCCCACCTTTGAATGTGTAACATACAAGCAAACTGAATGAGTTGTGATAGAAAGTGGCATTTCTATTGGTTCACATGTCTGTTGGTTAAATTAGGGAGCAGGCCTTCATTGATACAGTATTTTCTTCTGGTTTACTTTTCAGAGCAATCCTAGTGGCCCGGCCTGGTCCTGGTGGATCCTGGCAGTGCTGCCACTGGAGCGCAAGGCTCAGCTGGCCATCCTTGGCATGACCTCTCTGAAGGAACGTCTGCTTGCCATCCGACGCATACTAGTCATCATCACGCGTAAGATGAATAATCGCCAAGAGGTGGCTCCCAACAAGGAGAGAAATAACTGATTTTCTTCTTCTGTTATGGTTTCTGGAAGCCCCTGTACATTTATGAGTGCCGGGCATGGACAAGTACCCATCAATTATTGTGCTCTGTAAAATGTTCATTGATAAGATTACCAAATGGGACACTTAACCAAACACTTAATACCCTCTCACAATTGCCAAGTTTGTGCCTGGTGGAATCTGTTGCTGTAAAAGGTTAGCCTGAAGTTCAGATAGAGCCCAGGGCTGGAAAGCCACCTAAGAAAATCACTTGGAAGCAGATGTTTCAGGAGGTCACTGGCGGCAGGGAACAGCACAGATGGCATATAGTGGCTTAGGGTCCACAAGAAAGGAGAAGCTGTTCTAGTCAGTATCTCACCCTGCTAAATGGAAAAATGCATGGATCTGTGGCCAGACAATAAGAGGAAATCATGTTTTCATGTGGAAACAGATGGGTTAGAACACAGGCTGACCAAAGATGCACTTAGGCTTCATGTGTTGCTGTAAAGTTGTCTGTGAACTTAAGGAATCAAACCCTTGTCCAGTGCAGGAGCTAAAATGAGTCCTCACCCAAGAAGTAGCAATTACTGGATAGAACTGTGTTTACTGTCCTGTTTTAGTCCCAGGTGTTGTAAATTGCATGTTGTATTCATTAACAGTGTCAAAAATACAATACGTTTCATGGATATAGCAAAGTTGGAGAATAGTATAGTGAACTTGAGACTATATTTACACACTCTGAATAAACAGTGAGTTAAAACTATAAATGCATTGGGATGTCAAACGTGTAGCCAGACTAGTACAGAAACCCTTGAAAGTGTAACTGTTCTCATCAATTGATTGCATACTAAACATTGAGGCCAGTCCTCTTTTTCTGCCAGGATTTTCATGAGAAATTAGTCTCATCAGTAAAATTTATGCTACTATCCTTCCACTAATATATGAAGACATTAAAAAGCTGTCATAAATGGTAAAGTCTGTCTATTCTGAGGAAATATACCAGAATATGCAAGAATAGGTGGTTGATAAAGGGTAAATATTTAGGTTTCTCCAATACCAAACTAAAATGGTGACTTTTTAAACAAAGTTTTATGTTTATTAGACCATGAATTATCAGTTAAAGAACAATGGGTATAACTTCCAACCTGTGATGTATGCTGGTAGTGCTGGTTGGAATAACTATCAATCTGAGATGTGCTCACTGTCCTAGCCAGGTGCTGAGAGTTTGCTTCTTAGTTTATGAGGTGGGCATCCACTGAAGGAAAGTGTGAACTAATGGGCACATGACAATTGCAAGCTTTGCCCTCTTCATTCAAGGTATGTGATCTTCAAGTTTTAAAAAGTGTATTTCACAATAGTAAATGTCGATGGGTTATCAACCCATTAAGCATTTTATTAGAAAGACCTTATAATATTTATAATTTGATGTATTGTAGGAGTTTTCAGCAGTTAAAACTTAAGTGAGGTCATGGGAGTTAGAAAATACATTAGTGAAACTTAACTATACAGCAGAACATTTAGAAGTATTTGTTGACTCAATGTTTCAAGTACTTATGTAGTATTTTCTTAAGCCATGTAGCCTAATTAATCTGACCACTTAAAAAACAAAACTGCTTTTCATGTGCAGAAGATCTTTACTAGAAGCTATTCCTAGACAGTAATAGATATTAGCCACTCTTCTCTAGAATTTATTTTATATTTTAATAACATATATGAAGAATTGTAGCTAGACACCAGCGGCTCATGCCTGTAATCCTAGAGCTACTTAAGAGACTGAGAAAGAAGATTGCTCTTCAAGGCCAGCCTGGGGGAAAAATTCCACAAGGGCAGGAGTACTGCCCTTGTTGCTTCCTGATAGAGGAGCTGGATCCAGGAGGTATTTGGGCATGGAGGCTCTGGGTTGGTTAATTTGCTTAAGGAATGTGTGCTTTCAAGCATCCTCTGCTATGTAAGAATTGACAAGCAGATGGGAGAATATGATGAAAGGGATGACGTTGATCAAGATGCAGTGTACTCATAACCTGACTAATGGAATTGTAACCTCTTTGTACAACTACTTAATAGTAAACAATATATATATATATATATATATATATATATATATATATTTTAAAGAATTGACCAGCCCTGGTAGGGACATTCTTTTCTTTGTCAGGAAAGCTCTGACATAAAAATTATAACCAAAACATCAAAAATTATAAAAAACATGATTAGTTCAAACTTGTTCTAGTATTTCTGGAGAGAGATTTATTTTTTCAAAATGATTTAACTTTTTTGCAAAGGAGAACTGAAGATTGTTGTAAGTTGAGTTTAACCAGGTTGATTTCAGCAAGAAATAGGGTCTAGAACCAGTCAGAACTCTAGACTCATACTCTAGACTGCCTCTCCCTAAGACAGTGAGTTGTTTTCCAATCAGAAAAGCAGATATTATTTGATTGGTGCAGTCCAGTATTTTCCTTATCTGGGAGCCTTTCTTCTGGGATTGGCTAGCATTTCAGCTGCTATGATTGGTCAAGACTCAGTTGCTTGCTCACCAGGATATACACTTAATTACAATTTGCTTTAACATCAAGCTAAATTACAATTAACTGTATGTGGAGCTGTCCTAGACCAAATTTCATCATCCAAGTATGGAGCCAGCTTAAGACAACCATAATTTAAGAGTTTCCCACTTTGGGTCATCCTTTTAGGCCTTACAGAAATTAACCAAAACCATAGTCATGGGTAATGACACCATTTTCTGCATCTACCACAGTGAATCTACTTGATCAGCCTAGTTCAGAATTGGCAATTTAATACTGTTCTAGATGACTCTTACATTTTTGTTATTTCATCTGCAATGAAACTATTTGATATTAATACTAAAATATTGCAGTAACCAAAAGAATGAACTCAAAGTGACACAGTTGCTCTCTCAGTCAAGTTAGGAACATTAGCGCTGAATTATATCCAGGTCTTAATTTATAAAAGTACTTAAAACTTCTAAGCACTACACGGTATACATTGCCAAGAAACTTTCCAGAAGGCAGTAGTGAGCTGAGCCAAAAGAAGACCTGAACCAATAAAGAGGCAGAACAGAATAAGCAGATTCTCCACAAACCCAGTGTAGGCCTCAGGAACTGGAAATGAGGACCACTTACTGATATTTGAGCAAGAATCATTTCTCTACTTGCTCATAAGACTGCCCATAAATATAACCAAAGTGCAATGGGAAAAGTGCTCTAACATACTTTCTCATCACACATTGAAGATATATAACCACATTTGTCATTAAGGGCACCTTCTAATTTTAGTCAAGTGGCGTATATAATCAGTCATTCAAAACCACGTAGACAGCCTGAGTATAGGTTAACTAAAAGTACAATATAAGACATGCCTCCTGGATGCTACCTGGACAAATTTTCTTCACTTTGTAACAACCAGGTTACTATTGGAAAGGGCAGGGTGCTACTTCCAGCAAACCTAGGAAGCAAAGGCAGTAGTGATGTTGAAACGCTCCATTTTTCCTTTGGAGTATTTCCCATCGGAATCCTGAAGGATAGATATTAATGGAATAGCTTCTTGATTTTGTGGAGTTAGTCCACAGACTTAATCATTTTGGTTCTTGCTAGAGCAAGAAAAACTTGGGTTTTTCTGAAGAAGCTTTCAAGGAACAAATTTTGGATTCATGTAGTTTTTTGTATGCTTCTCCATACCAATTAAAGAGTGCATCCCACTAGTTTGGTGGGGGTGTTTATTGTTTGTTTTTCTATATATAGCAAGTAAACAATTCTGACTTCCCAGTGACCCTCGTATTTTCTAAGCTGTTTTCTAGATGATACGTTTTCCTAAAATATGCAGATTTGTGCCCATAATTCTGATACATAAACCTAGCTAGTGTTCTGAAGTATGGATTATGATGATCCCATTATCAAAAATAAAAATTTGAGGTCAGGTACCAGTGACTCATGCCTATAATCCTGGGTACTCAGGAGGCTGAGATCTAAGGATCCTGGTTTGAAGTCAGCCCATACAGGAAAGTCCATGAGACTTTTTAAAAAAAAAATATTTTAAGGAGTTGTGCAAAGGAGTTGCCATTCAACAAAGCAGTTTATGAATACAGTGCATCTTGATCTCTTAATTTCTAGTTATCCACCAAAAATCCAGAAGTGGAGCTGTAGCTCAAGTGGTAGAGCACCAGCCAGGAATGGAAAAGCTAAGGGACAATGCCCAGAGCCTGAGTTCAAAGCCTCAATACCTACTCTGACCTTTAACTGAATCCAGTGCAATCAGCTGTCAAAAACACTTTGCCTCTGAGCCCAGTTCAGATTCTAACTAACCTACTCAGACACCTAAGACTTCTTTTCTGAAATCCAAGTCAGTATGTTAAGAAAAAGAAGAGAGAAAGAAAGGAAAGAAAAAGTTTAGATAAACTTGGAGAGCTCAGAACTCAGAGTGGAGCTTGCGATAAGGGGAGGAAACTTACCTGTACTATATCTAGGTGTCTTGAGAAGCCATAGGGTTCAGTGGGCCCTAGTGGGTCTCTTGTATTAGCCACTCAGTGAACCCGTGGATTCTGGAAGCTCTACTTTGCAGCCCACTGACCACACCAAAAGGAGGATGCAACTACATTTAAATTTAATAGGTTACTTTTGAGCAAGAAGTAAAGTTTTTAATTGGGCAGCATACCAACCCAAGATGGTGCAGAATGTTACCCCCAACATTTTAGACAGAAAAGGGAAGGAATTTACAGAGATGATAAATTGGTGCCATTCAGTGTTTACTTTATTTGGCATGCAGTCACTTAATACTTATGGAGACACAAACTGGGAGAAGTGTGGTTAGGTGATTTTGTCACAATATGAGCAACATAAGAGTGTTCTAACATAAACCAAGACAGCTACAATGTCACTAAGTGATGCAACGTTATGGGACCACATAGAATATGCTACAACTGGTTTATGTGTCAAGCTAGATTGCAGTTCACCACATACTAAGAGACTAAGTCAAATTTTATCATTCAATACAGAGGCTAGTTTGAGCAGGGATGGGCCTGGGCCTGCTAGTACCAGCTTGTGTCTACAGAACTTCAACATCAGAACCACTTCCTGCAGTCCTGCAGCTGTAAGTTATCAGGGCAAGGTGGGGCCCGGAGGGCCAGATGAGTTCCCGTGGCATTATGGCAGACCCCACCCCAAATTAGAGACTGAACCTTAGTAAGAAAGACACCAAGGAAGTTGACTGTCAGTCACAAGGCTAGATTGGCGTATGTGGTCTTTGAGGAGGAAGATGGAGTTGTAATGTAAGTATCTCTAACCTTTTGCTTTTCAGCAATCATTAAAAAAAATTGCTTTGGGGCCTTTGGTATTTGCCATGCTATTTTAACTTTAATAGTTTTGTCCGCTTTTGTACTACGTATGGTCTGATCAGTGGCTGGCTCTTCTTTCATACTGCTCATCCTATCACCCTTCATTTTCCACTGAGCCCTGGAAAAAGGTTGCTGTGTTGAAAATTTGTATGTTTATGTATTAGTGTCATTAGCAACTTAATTTTGTAGTTGTGGGATGATTTTTCCATTTAACAATTTGATGTGCATTTTTTTCTACTTAATTAGAAGAGCAGATTTGAGCAAAAAGTTGATGTAGATGAACTTAAAAATCATGGTTTTACCTGTTGAGAAATTAGTGTATTGTCACATTCATATAATACCAAGTGTTTATCTGACTTTCTGTTTCCTAAGTTTAAGTCTGGGATAAAGATGTTAAAAACAATATTTGCTATTTGTCATTACTTAAGTGAGGCCACGTTTGAATGTTGCAATATTTACTTCATTGTGTCTGTGTACTGTTCACTTTAGTTGGAATTGTATATTTAATATGTGATATTTGGAGTAAATAAAACTTGCAGTGTTGTAAATGTTATTTAATAAATAATCATGTGCAAATGACATAAAATGACTAGAACAAGATCAAATTCAGCTCAATCTAATCCAGGACAAATTCAACCTAACTTGATTACATTTACAAAGACACAGAATATTGGATTAATTTCCTGTGGTTGGCTTCCAAACATAGAATTTTCTTCTTCACAGTTCTGGAAATCAGAAGTTCAAGGCCAAGGTATTGACAGAATCATATCTCCTTTTACATATGTGGAGTCTCTTCTAACTCCTAGAGGTTGCTGCGGGCCCTGACCTTCCTGGGCTTGTACATATCCACAGTCTGTCTTCATTACCAGGGCCTCCTCCCTCCAAGTCCAGATGTCTGTCTCCTATGTAAGGAAGTAAGTTACTAGATTTGGAGTGCAAGCTAATTCAGTGTGAACACCACCTAATTTTATTTATTATATCTGCAGAGACATTGTCTCCAAGTAAAGTCACAGACACACATTGTTTAGAGGAGCTTTAGCTCAATTCAGATGTTAAATTAGTCCAACTTAAATCACTAGTAATAAAAGGGAAGAGGCTTTACTATAATTACATTTTGAGATCTGTTCTATCCAGGGTAGTTAAGAACTGAAACCTATATAGCTGTTTGGGGGGGGCATGGAGGATGTTTGAGATAAGGAATACAAAATTATAAGTAAAGAGTTAACTATGAAAATACATACTTAGGGGCTGGGAAGGTGCCTCAAGTGGTAGAGTGCTAGCCTTGAGCTGAAGAGCTGAGGGACAGCACTCAGGCTTAGAGTTCAGGCCCCATGACTGCCAAAAAGAAAAAAAATTATTTAGAAATTTTAAAAGAGTAAATTTTTTGGTGATGTATTGTGTTTATTGATTTATATATATTGAAAATGAGCCTTGCATCTCTGGTATGAAACTGACGATCATAGTAAGTGATTTTTTTTTTATTAAGGAGCTTTGTGTATGTTCATCAAAGAATTTGGTCTATCTCTTTTTACAATGGGTCCCTTCCTGATTTAAGGATGAGTGGATTTCTGGACTTGTAGAATAAGTTTGGTAATGATCTTTTCCTTCCTATTTCATGGAAAAGTCGGGGGGCGGGGAATATACTTTTTTTTGAAGGTCTTATGGAATTCAGCTGTGAATTATTCATTGTGATCTAGACTTTTCCTTGT